ATGCCCGCTGACCTCCCGCAGCCCCGCAGTCCGGGCACCGAGAGGGCAGCGCGTCCTGCTAGGCGCGGGAAGAAAGACAAAGACCCCAGCGGGAGGAGAGCGAGCCGGAGCGGGGAGACAGGCCTTTCGGGGCGCGGGCCCGGGAGACGCTGCTTGTGTTCCCGGGCGTGAAATCTACGAATTGGGAGAGCTCGCAGGGTGCCCTTTGGCCCAGCTGGTCCGGGCTCCAGGAGCTAAAGCGGAGGAGGCCCGCGGCGCGTGCGGAGGGCCACGCGGGCGTGTTCCGGGGCACGTTTGCTGTCGCCCAGAACGCGCTCCGCGGGAGAGAGCTGGACTGTACTCTGCAAACCCGCACGCTGCGGTGTAGGTGGCCGGTAAAAGTGTGCCGCGATTTTAACTTTTAAGGAAAAATGTGTGAGACGGTTCATTTTTTAAAAGCAGTTCTCCTTAGAGCACACAGAAGTTAACACCTACAATCAAAATTTACACATAAGGCACTCGGGAGGCTGAGGCAGGAGGATCGTTGCTAGGTCGAGGCCAGCCTGGGCTACAAAGTGAGCCCAAGGCCAGCCTGAACTGCATAGAGAGACCCTGTCTCAAAAAGACAAAAAAATTTACACTTACAAAGGAATGATCCGTGGACGCTTGCTACAGTGACAAGCTGGGCTTGGCGTGGGGTGTGTTTCAGACTTCTCCACCCTGCGACCGTGTCTTCGCACCCCCCAGTCCCTGTAAATATAAAATACCGATGAGAGCACTGCTGCCGAAAGGCGCCCCCCCAGCGAGACAGAAGTCAGAGGTTCTGGAATGGGCCTGCGCAACTGGTAAACAATGCAGAAGCCCGCGGTCCCACAGGGATATTTGTTTGGGAGGGGCTTAAGATTTGGGAGGTGATTTTAACGTATTCTGAGGACCACATCCCCACTCTCCTCCAAGGCCTCAGTCCGCAGTACTAGGTATTATGCTACCAAGACCTTCTCTGTCCACGGTCTAGGTCACTTTATATTCATAGTCTGCAGGCCTCAGCCATGGAATGTAATTTTCCCCAACATAGCTCCTGTTTCTCTTCAGGAGGTCTTTTCCCCTGGTGTGTCACTTGTAATTTTTAACTGGCTTTTTAAAATTTAGGATCGACAGAAAAGTTGCAAAGATAATAGAAAGATTCCCCACTCGCTTTGCCGTACCGTTAACATCGTGGTGAGGACACTGTGAAAAGGAAATTAGGGGTCTGAGCATACGGCTCAGGGGCACAGGGCCTGCCTGGCACGTGCAAGGTCCTGAGTTCGATTTCTGGTACTAAAAGAAAAGGAAATTAATACTGGCCCGGAAGTATTATACTACCGACTTTATTTGGACAGCTCCCGTCTGCCCCTCCTGTCTGGACTCGGCCTGGGATGCCGCTCCACATGGGGCAGCTCCGTCTCCCCAAGCCCCTCCAGCCTCCCAGCCTCTTCTTGGTGATGTTTTCCTCAGAGCAGACAGTTGTGAGATAAACAAGTGGAACCTTCTATAGAATATTCAGCTCACGTTTGTCGGGTATTTTTCATGACCTGACCTGGGCTATGAGTGTTTTAGACTATCGGCTAATGCTACTTTGAGAAGATGAATTTTGATCCCATGAACTTGCTTGTTCTAATAGTCTGTCCATTTTCCTACATTTTTTCAATGTTAACATCTTTAGGTTGTTTTGTTTTTTGGCACCAGGACTTGAACTCACCACCTTGTGCTTGCCAGGCAGGCATTGTGCCACTGAGCTATATCCGCGTCTCACATCATTAGTTTTAAAACTTTCCTTAACCATCCCTCTCTCTCTCTTTTTTTTTTTTTTTTTCCTTTTGAGACAGGGTCTTGCCATGCAGTTCAGGCTGGCCTTGAGCTCACTTTGTAGCCCAGGCTGGTCTTGAATTCACAACGATCCTCCTGCCTCAGCCTCCCGAATGCTGGAATTACAGGCATGCTCCACCACGCCAAGCAGAATCACACTCTTCTGTCGGCCACTTCATTATCACACTGTACTGGCCAGGACCCTGGTGGTGCCTGTCCCTCGTCCAGGGAGGAGATACTCATTATCATCACTGTCAAGTAAAACTGTGTACTGCTGCTGCTAATTAACTTGTATCCCTGGACAAAAAAAAAAAAAAAGCTCATTGTAGGATTTTTCGTAGTCTCCTTAATGGTGATTAAGGAAATTCTTTCTGGTTTTTAAAATACTTTTATGGTTAGGTTTCCCTTTCCATAGAGATCCTACTCAGTTTCACCGTAGCTGGTACCATGTGGATTCTCTGTGACCCGAAGCTTGTTTGGAGTACTGGCCCTACTGCACGGTGGTAGGCAGGGTCTGGTCCATCGCTGTGCGCAGCTGGATACTTCTGGGTTATATTTTGCTTGGTTTTTCCATCCAATTCATATTTTTTATTACACTCTCCTTGCCTGCTTTTGATATCAAAGTCACAGCGGTCCCGCACAAGGATCTGAGGTACACCTCACTGCTTGTATTCTCAGCAAGTCTGTAATCTTTTCTCCAGTGGGAATTACAATCGCTTCTGTTACTAACATTGTTTGGTTCATCGGTTTCACTGCAACTTTGAGAACGTTTTTACGGTCACTTTTTAAAGCCGTGCTGGTCACTCACCCCCTTGCTGCTGTGTCGTTTGATTTCTGTTTCGTTTCTTCCCTACTTTCTTGGGCTTCTCCTCTTCCTGTCCTGAATTCTGTACGCTGTACTGTTCCGTTCCGTTCTGTACTTTACTCCCATTAGGGGCCTTGAGAAACGTGTTTCGGATTCTGAATTCTTCTTTTTTTTTTTTTTTGGTTTTTCTCCGGTACCAGGAACCGAACTCACGACCTTGCACTTGCCAGGCAGGCTCTGAATTCTTCTTAAAAACTGTCCTTTCACGGAGGTTCCCAAATTAGTAGATTACACTCCAATAGCACAATCTATATATTTATCTGGTATCTGTTCAAGCTTCCTTTATCCCAGGATATCTTTAGTTGTGCAGTGAGTTGGGACAGAATGAATATTCTCTGTTTTCTCCAAACGTGAGGTGTTAATTTCTACTTGTGTCTCAAGGATCAAGATTGTTAATTTTGCTTGGATTTTCAGTGTTCTTACTCTTTTTACTTACTTGATCAATTTATTCTAAATAGTTACAATCAATCTCCCAGGATGAACATGGCTTTACCCACGGCCCCGTGATTCTTTTACTTTCTGTTTTACAGACTTCCAGGCCACAGACGTATGTGCAAACAAATCTGGATTTCCTCTTTTGATGGCCCAGGAAATTAATGTATTTACTTATATTTGTAATTACTGATATATTTCTTTGTTTAATATTCCTTTTTCTTTTTTACTTTCTTCTTTCCTACTTACTTTCTACTGAGCCGGTCATTTTCTTTATTACCCTTTTCTTCTTCTACTTACTTAGACATTTCAATTACATTGCAGTTACATTTTTGTCTGTCTTTAAGTTCTTAACTTACAGACAAGCATGGTTTTAAAACAAAACTATGATGAAGTCCTAAAGCAAAGATCCTGGCACGTCCTAGTAATGCACTGAACACCCCGTGTCTCAAGGTCCCTAATGTTATCTAGAATTTTAGTTATAATTTTTTAGAACAGGGGAGGGAAGGAAAGGAAAGGGATCGAGAAAAGAATTGAAGAGAAAATGGAAATAGGGTTTCTTCAAATGGGAAGGGATTGAGAGTCGGAGGGAATAGGGAGGTGTGTAGGGGAAGAAAGGAAGTGTTGCATACCTGGACCAACGCCATGATGAGTGGAATCGTTATGTACTGCAATAAAAGTGCATCAGAAAAATATTTTAAAACAAGCCTAAAAATCCATTTTTATAGTCAATGATGGATTCTATAGTCAATGATATTTTCAGAATGTATTAATGTATTCATACATTCTTGCTGCTTAAATCTCACTTCTGCCTCCAGGTTCGTGTGTGCATGTGCGCGTGTGTAAGTGTGTGGGTGTGGGTGTCCCTGTGGATTAAACAAAGAGCCTTGCTCTTGCAAGGGATATAGTCTATCACCGGCTGCAACACCAGCCCTATTTTTGTTTTGAGATAGCGTCTCACTCAATTGCCCAGGTTGGCCTTGAAGTTTCGGTCCTCCTGCCTCAGCTGCCTGAGCCGCTGGGGTTACAGGCATGTGCTTCCACACCCAGTCTTTTCAGGTCCACCTTTCTCATGACAGTAAATTCTTTTTTTTGGTTTTTTTTTTTTTTTTTTTTTTTGTTTTTTTTTTTTTCCGGTACCAGGAACCGAACTCACGACCTTGCGCTTGCCAGGCAGGCGCTTTGCCGCTGAGCTAA